AAAACATTTGGGATGTCATCGTCAATATAGAAACATAAGCATAAACATGACTTACTTTCATTTACACTAGTAATCTATTTCTCTTTATTCTCTCAGTGTATAGTAGCTTCGTATCGATACCTGTGATACAAATAAGCTTGAGTGGGTCAGGTTGGAAAACCTGGTGAGTACATAGGGTTTTCAACCCACAATAATATAATTATTATGTTTAAACATTTAGACAATCAACCCAATTACCCATCCACATTATCTTCTTTATTCCACCCTAAGAATTCAGCTATTCCTCGTTTATTTATTCCTAAGGGTTATCCTAAGGAATTGGTACGAAATCCATCATTGCCAAGGTTTACTCAACAAGCACTAAATCCATAGTTACCAAGGTTTATCTCGTTTATTGACAGTATCGTTTGCAAGACTCCTCTCGCAATACAGGTCAATGGGTTTTTATCTTGTTTATCGATAGTATCGTTTCCGAGAATCCACTCGCAATACATGTCGATGGGTTTTTAGAGTACACCTGGTGAATACACAGTTCAAAACACCTACAGGTTGCGAGCCTGCTAGTGTCCGCTGGACTGTCTAGAATAGTCTGTGGTTGTCATCCATACTCTGCTGGATGACAGGGCCAACACTTGGGTAAAAGGCTTCTATTATGGTTCACTTGTCACCCTTACCTCATGGTCTATATCACATCTTCATCATTTTATTTTTGTCACACAGAAACTATTTCATCTACCCATGTTTACCCAACACATTTTTTAGATATAAAATATGTATACAGTTTAAATAATTTAAAACATGTATAAAAATCTTTCACCCAGCACAGACAACAAGTATTCAGACAATATACACACATAGCATGTAGTTTATATAAAGAGTAAATTACACGAATGGTCCTTATGGTTTAGCGTAATTTGCGTGTTTGGTCCCTAACTTATTTTTTTTAATTCGGAAGATCCCTACTGTTTGTTTTTGTTACGCGCATGGTCCCTGTCTTACCTAAAGATACTATTTTTCCCTTGATATTTTAATTTATTTAAGTAAACACACCCCCAACCTCACCCCACTCACATTACCTTACATACCCCACCATTTTTTCCTATTTAAATAATAGTCTTTTTTGGTAACAAAGGGACCAAACGTGTAACAAAAAGCAAACTATAAGAATCAAGCATGTAACAAAAACAAACCATAGGGACCTTCCGAGTTAAAAAAAACAATTTAGGGATCAAACGTGCAAATTACCCCAAACCATAGGGACCATTCGTGTAATTTAATCTTATATAAAATACTTCATATCTATGTGTAAGATGAAAGGGACCATGCACTCACCTGAGAAGATGGTGACTTAGCACTCGGACAACACTTCGTTATTATTAGAACAATTTCCCTCGGACAAAACCTAGTATCAATATCACTAGGGTTTAATCTAACGTTAATCGCGACTAATTAATAGTCTAGCTATTATTACTATTATACAAACGTTAACACAATACTTTTCACCCACTATATACAGACAAGGCCAAACATGGAGCACCGGAGGGCAGGATCATTCCAGCATAAAAGCACTTCTGAATCCAGCAACCCTCCAAACCGGAACCCCTGTACCGCGAGTGGTTAAAAAGACATTATAACAAAACTTATATAACTCATAATAATAGTCTAAATACTTGTTATAAGTTCCTAATAACTTTACTATATTGAAACATAAGTTATATTAAAGATAGGATAGACACAACTCACTTACAGCGAGTTTTCTCGAAAATCGGGCTTTGCTGGAGCAGCGTTCCTGATTCTCGGGGCTTCCTTCGGGTGCTAGGGGGTTTACCTAGACTTTAGGGGGCTTAAGGGAGGCTAGAGAGAGATTTTAGAGAGAGAAAGTTGAAGGGGAGAGGTGTGGGAAATGAGAGAACCCGACACCTCTATTTATAGGGTGAAATCCTGATGGACTCTCCAAGTCGGTTCACTGACTCGTCGAATCGGTGTCACGTGTCATCACATGATGGCTTTTCTTGGGGAGAAAGCCTTGGTCCATATTCAGCCACGTCACCCCTTTTGCAGCATCAACCTACTGACTTCTAAACCCCGTAACTTTCGCATACCAGCTTCGGTTTCGACTTTATTTTTTTCCACATGTAGGTAAAACAAGATCTACAACTTTCGTTTAGACTCCGTCGGTTAATTCTCGAACGATGTTAAATTTAACAGTAGGAGGAGATTAGACTGTTAAATGACCACGAAAAATTCGTAACTCCTTCATACGGATTCCGTTTTCGTTTGTCTTTTTACCGTTGAGTTCCTATTAATGAGATGTTCAACTCTCATTAAGGTTGCGTAAGCCAAAAACTGCTCGAACTAATATTCGAGTTTCGGGTCGTGCATTGCTATGCCAAATTTTAGAAAAATCATAACTTCCTCATACGAAGTCAGATTTGGACGTTTTTTTTTTTTTTTTTTTTTTTTTTTTTTTTTTTTTTTTTTTTTTTTTTTTGTATGTTCTCCGTTTAAAGTATACTACAACTTTTGTTTAGATCATTAAGGCTAAAATGTCCTCTATCGTAAATTCATTATTTACGTCTCCCGGTGCCGTACCGGTTTTGCCATAAAACTTCGACGGGCCGTAACTTCTTCGTTATAACTTGGATTTCGGCGTTCTTTATATATACGAAACCCTTGAGACATATTCTACAACTTGTTTAAGATTATTTATTCTAAATAATATTTTATCGAAAAGTAGATTTCAACCCCTATTATCTCTAAATTGACTAGCCCAGATCTACGTGCATTACAGAGACACCTTGTGGGTATTTCCATAATGCTCTCTACTTCCTTCAGTTATATCAGCATTATCTACACCTCATTTCAAAGCCTTTATCTCATGCTCCAGAAGAGCATTTGTAACTTATTATATAGCAGTTACTTTTTTAAAGGGAATTATCTTTTTATACTCTTCATAAGTTTATTCTTCTTACATGCATTTTTTTTCGAGTTTACAGTCTGCACCGGATAATTTGTGGGAATGTTCACTAACCATAATGGTGCATGCAACACTTATATATCTCAATCAACACGAAGCTTGAGATCACTTCTAAAAGAACAAGTACGTCTCATTAATTCCATCAAGGCTATTTTAGTCTTTTTTTTCCCATCTTCTAACTCCTCTTTTTGTTACTATGTATTGAAAGAAATCTCTTTTATTATGCCACTTTGCAATTCCAAAGGGCAACAAGTGAGTATAGTTGTTGAATTTTCAGGTCTACTAAGAGATTTGGCCATGACAAGCAAAGGTTTGAGCCTTTGGCATTCTTAAGTCTGGCACAAAGTGCTGTTTGTTTATAATGGTCCTTCGTTAGTGTGTATTTCTTGTGTTTCTTTATTTTTATTTGTTGTGATTTTAAATCTGAGTCACTTCCATATGTAACTATTAATACGAACAATTTCTATATTGCATTAATGATGAAACACCAGGGAAAAGGTAGAGGTGTTCATGCTCTATTGTGCAGTTATTGGAGTCTATGGTGTAGTTATTGGAGTGCTGGAATTACAGGTTTTTAAACAGTATAAAACCAAGTGATTTTTTCACAAATGCATTTTTTTACAACTTTAGTCTTTTTTTTAAAGAACCTGGTCATTATAAAACTTATATATCTTTGAAATATCTTCCAAAATGATTGTGGATGTGTGATATGTTCTTCATATCACTTATAAAACTTAGCTTTCATAATCATACTTTGTTTACAAAATATAAATCAATCTTAATCTTTTAAACAGTGATGCTGATGGGGTCGCTAGTTTATGTTGATGGTACCGTTTGAAATTGATGCAGTTTCTGCACCTGAGGTTTGTATTTTTGATACACTTTTATTAATTTTGATGTTGTGAAACATGTGTTTTTAATGCATTTAGCTCATAAACTTTTAGGTTAAAACAAGGATGTAAAGAGAATCGATCAACTTCTAATTCCTATTACAATATTGAAATAAAGGATACGTATCTTACTCCGTGGATACTTAGTTGTAATTCGGTTGAATGAAAATGTCATATGCAGGTGATTGCTGCCATGTGCTCAACATTTTGTTATGTTAGCAAAGTAGTCATGAAATACACTAATATGAGCAAGTTTCAAGATAATACAACCACATTTATTGGAAGCTAATATGAGCTTTGATTGATTGTATTGGATTTAGTTATTGTAATTTTATTCAAACATTATCAAGTTTCAAGATAATAGAACCACAATTATTGGAAGCTAATATGATGTTTGATTGATTGTATTGGATTTAGTTACTGTAAATTTATTCAAACATTATCACTTAAATAATTAAATATTTTTTTAATTTATAGCAATTACATCAAGATAGTAAATATCATCTTTTCTTGTATTTTCCTGATTTGTGACGGCTTTTTTTTTTGGTATCTAACAGTAAATATTTAGTGACCACTTTTTGGTCACTATGGTCATTAATATAGTAATGAAAACTAGTGACATTTATGTGGTCATTAAAAGTCGTCACTAAGTGATTAAAACAATGACGATTTTCTTTAATTAATTAGTGACGAAAGGAGTCATCACAGATTTATTGACGAGTATATTTTAGTCACTATTTAGTGATTATATTCAATTTTGGTCACAAAATCGATTTTGTGACGTACCTATAGTGATGAAAAGTGACGACTAGAATTTTCGTCACTAAATCATTTTGTGACGAATCGTTCTACTGTTATTGACAATTTCATTTTGGTCAATAATTGGCATTTTTTTGTATTGCTAATTGCTTTATATATGAGCTAGTAGAATATATTCCCATTAATTGACGATTTATGGAAATACATAACTACATATAGTAGCACACCCTTTGTCTATTACCTAAAACTTTTTTCAAAAGTGATTGAGTAAACTATTAGGAACTCTTATCGGTAGAATTTTTAATGCAATATGTTTTATTAACAATTCATTTCGACAATATCAAAATAAAATTTTAGTACAAATTTTCTTTTTACACCACATTAACAGTTTTTTTAAATTGAAAACAATATCACAAGAACTTCCAAATTCATATATATGAAATCTGTTACATCCTGGATCGATAGTGTTCAACAAGTAAACGCCTGAGTAATTTCCCGGAAGCCGATTTGGGAATGTTGTTCACAAATATCACTCGCCTCAACCGTTTATAAGGTGCAACCTATCAATTATATTCCAATGAGTATTATCTTTTCTTGAAAAACCCAACGTGAAAATACAAATCTTTACCTGCTCATTGACGAATCTCTTGACATCTTCTTCGGACAAACAGCTGTTTGATGACTGCACCACAAACGCAATCGGGATTTCACCAGCTTCAGCATCTGGAAACCTAATAAAGACGATAAAGTGTTCATACAATCATACATACATTCCCTAAATGAATATCAAGATTCGTGAAATATAGCCTTTTTGACTTACGGGATTACTGCAGCATCTAGTATTTCAGAATGCGAAAGCAAAAGTGCTTCAAGCTCTGCTGGTGCAATCTGAAGAGCATGCACGTAAAGATTAAAGATTATTTTGGCCATGCATGCAAGAAAATATTATAAAGAATCTATCGAAACAGGATCTTTAATTACAAGATATGCATGATCAAAACATGTTTTAATTACCTGAAACCCTTTATACTTAATGAGTTCCTTAAGTCTATCAACCACGAATATTTGACCTTCATCATCAAAATATCCAAGATCACCGGTATGTACGAAACCATTTTTATCTATCGTAAGCTTCGTGGCGTCAGGTTTATTGAGATACCCTCGCATCATGCAAGCTCCTCGAACCCATATTTCACCAGTTTGATTTGGAGGAAGAGGTTTATTGGTATCTACACAAACTATTTGAGCTTCGATTCCTGGTAAAAGCGCTCCAGTTGAACCAGAGTGCTGATGGCCCATAATTGGACTACCGAGTGAGGTGGATGCTGTCGTTTCAGTCATACCATATCCCTGTTGCATGGAATGTTGTAATTAGAACTTCACTGAAAGCGACAAAAACTATAAAAAAGACAATTATATTTAGAGAAATTTATACAAGAATGAATTAATTTTTTTCTAAACATGATAAGAATAGAAACAACAGGGACCATATCTGTAACTTCGTATTCAATTTATTATCTCAAATGCAAGTGAAGTTTACCTGAAGAACCAAAACATGTGGGAACTTTTTGGCACACTCGTCTATTAGTTCTTTCCCCAATGGTGCAGCACCCGAAATGATTAGCTTCAATGACGACAAGTCAAACTTCTTGACTACATCTTGTTTAGTTAAAGCAAGTATAACTGGTGGAACAGCCCATAAATGTGTAACTCTATATTTCTGTATGTTCTTTAAAACCGCTTCAAAACTAAACTTTCCCATTGATACAACCGTATTCCCTTCCTGTAATTGAGCATATAGTATAACCGCAAATCCAAAGATATGAAACATGGGCAAGAAACATAAGTGTACATAATCTTTCTCCCCCATTGATCTTTGATCAGAAGTCATCATTTGTGAAGTTGCGATGAAGTTCTTGTGGCTCAGAATTACACCCTTGCTAACACCGGTTGTCCCAGAAGAGTACAATAAGGCCGCAGTATCATCTCCATGAATCGAAACTTTAGGTAGTTCTGAGACTGACCCATATTTTGAAATCAAATCTTTATATGAAAAACACCCGTTTCTTGAACTTTTTGATCCTAAAAACACAACCGGGAGTCCGAAGTTTTCAACTTTTTGGTACAATTCTTGAACGGTGATGATGAGTTTGGGTTTAGAGTCTTCAACTTGTTTGGATAACTCTCTGATGGTATATTCAGGATTGACGGTGGTGACAATGGCGCCAAGAGCGATGATTGAGTATGAGCAGATGGGGTATTGGATTGAATTGGGGGCAAATATGAGAACGACGTCGTTCTTGGTGATACCCAGGTGGTTGTTTAAGGCGTGAGAGAACTTGGCGACGGTGGTTTTGAATTGGATGAAATTGAGGGTGTCACCGGAGTCGGCGTCGTATAGGGCAGTTTTGTTTGGGTAAGATGAAATGTTGCGGAAGAGAAAGGGAATCATTGATGTGTTGGGGTCTGCTGGGATGACTAGCGGTTGCCGGAGTGAACGGAATATTCCGTCGCTGCCATAACCGGATTTCTCCATCGACTTTGTGTGCCTCTAATGATCTCTATAACTGCACAAATGTTAGCGGTTATAACGTATAAGGAACTTCCCCCAGATGGGTCCAAATACGCGACATCTTGATCATTTATTGAGGTTTTTATTTGCTCATACTTGTAGATTTGTATTCAATAGTTTCTCTTGATCTTTTTATCATAAACACATATATTCAATTATCATATATATGTGTACTAACGCATTGTGCTTTGAAAAATCATTTCAATTATAGCATTATATATATTTTTTCTTATTAGGACATTATACTTTAAAAAATGTATCCACTTATAGCATTGTACTTTCAATATTGTTCTTTGAAAAATCTGCCCATTTACACATTCAACATTGCTATAACGGGGTGAAATTTTCAAAGTACAATCTTATAATAACACAAAAGAGTAGGATGCTATAATAACACAATAATTGAATATCCTTTTGTAATAATTATAAGATTATTTCCTTTTTATTACACCCTTAATAACGAGAAAAAAAAACGCGCCAAAGGTGCAGCTAATTCCATCTAGTTAGAATAGAAAGATAGACCATTAATTTCGACCCCACCTATCATGACTGTCGCTAGGGTTCCAAAGAAATTTTTTTAAGGTAAATTGAGTAATCTAATCATTTTTAGGGTGTTTTTTAAAAATATAACCCTTTTATTTATAAATTAAAAAAAGTGAACACTTACTCCGAAACGGGGCATTCCGGAACATGTTTCAGACTAATTTTCGGGTGGGCCATCCCATTACCGTTCTTCCAAAATTCTCATTCCGGACTATCCGATCGTGTTCTGGATTAGGAATTGGAATTTCAAATTCCAAATTAAAAATTGAAAAACCCCGGACCCTCATCTTTATTCCGGATCTTGCTCCAACTTTCCGATTCAACTCGAATAGGCGACCCCGATCATGATTCATATCTTCGAAACGCAACTCCGATCTCTAGCATGCAACTCTGACATGGAAGAAGGACACTATAACCCCGTTATTTTATGGGTACGTTCTTCACTTAAAAAACCTAGTTTGCTTTTTTATATAAGGTGCTTATTCATCTATAATTACTGTTCTGGAATGCGTAGAACACCTTCGGAATGAATTGAAAATGTTTCGGAGTTTAAATTAAAGATGTTATTATTGTAGGATCAACTGAAAAGTAGTTTAGATGTTTGGGTATTGTTAATTTACATCGAAGGGTAGTGTTCCAGATCTTAAAAATTCATTATGGAAGCTTTCGGAATGCGAGGAACTGTTTCGAAACATGAGGAGCCCATCCTGAACAAGATGAACTGCTCTGGAATATTGGTCAATTTTTGTTTTGAAATGAAGTGATAACACTTTTTTTTTTGTGCAGCACGACATGGTTTTTGATGCATCCATTACAGTCTCTTTAAATCCAAAATGGGCAAGGAAATTCTTTTAGAATTCAGAGACATACCCGAATGCATGACCATATTCTAGAATACATGTCTTGGGAGGTGATTACACATTCCTAATGTAGATGGAGATCCTTTAATTCTACATTACGTCTTTTGCCACGAAGTTTTCACCGACCCCCGAAGCCAAGTAGAAAAAATGGGTTTTTAGATTAGAGGTAACAAACCGTCTTTTGGGAAGAAAAATTTTGTCTCATCATTGACTTCCGGTTTGGTGACTATTTAGCTGCTTCTGCATTCGGTGTCGCCTTCCATTCTTGTGCCTTTCCTATGGTCCCGAGGAATGTCTTAGTCAAATTAGACGATGTTATGACGTTGTTTAAACATTCACTTAAAGAGTTCAATGGGCGGTTGCCTTAATAACCTATTATAGAAGAGTATTTTGTTTTGATATCCAACCTTGATGAATTCAATAGGTATAATGTAGTCTATTTTATAATTACTGATTATAATTACTTATCGTTACTAATATTTTTTAGAAATTTAATTGTTAATTAATTTTTATATAGTAGATATCCATGGGGGAGGATAATTTGGAATCGGTTATATGAACAGCTAGTTACAATAAGCTTGACAAACATTGTACATCCAGACGAACCGAACGAGAAACAGCATCAAAAAATGACCTACGCCCTAAATGGGTTTTTATACGTTTTTAAGGTATGTATATGATGAAAATTTTATTATTTATTTTTGTTTGCTAAAATTCTAACAATTTTTTATTTGTTTGATAACATTTAAATTTTGATTCTTGAGACTTTTTCAAATCCATCGGGCTATTGCATGATCAAAACTCATGCCTTTACAAAAGACTCACTGCAACAAGTTTTTACAAATTCGTGATGTATGGTTACTTAGTTATTAATTTTCTTTATAATTTATGTTTATTTATAATTTTATAATTTTGCTGGAAGGATAATAGACTCGTATAGAACTTGGAGCCGACAGAAGTTGAGATGTGTGCTAAATGGTGGATAGTTAGCTTGGTATGGATTAATTGCCCTGATTTTCCCAACACTAAAGTTCACATGACACATTCTCTAACACCATCACCCAAAAACTCTGTGGCCCATAAGCCTCAACCAAAGAAGGCATAGATAGATGATCCATCACACCCGCCACAACTACCATTGTTGGCCGCTGACCTATCAACTGACAAGAACTGAATTATTAGTGTGACTCGCAAAATTAGGGGTGTTCGTTTGGATAGATCAATTCGATTTGATCCAATCAAGTGAATCTAAATTGATTAAAATTTTCAAAACATTGATCCAAATAATTCAAAATAAATTCAAATCCGATCTGATCCAATCAAATTACAATTCGGTTGGATTGGTTCTTATAACATGGTTTTCAAAAACTAAAACATTTGAATACCACATATAATTAGAATATTAGTTAAATTTATAACATAAACAAAAACAAATTATTTAATTATGGTCTAAAACTTATAAACGACTACTAAAAAATATATTATTATTTAATATTTTATAGACACAAAACTTTTTTGAGAGAAAATGATATTAATAGTTTTTATTAGGTGAAATCTTGTTAATCTATTTGAAAAAATAAATTAATAAGCTAATAAATAATTATAGATATATATTAAAAATAAACAAATAATAAATTGTTATTTGATTTTTTGGACTTTTCGGTTCGTATTTTAGAAACCAAAACTAATCCAAAATCCAAAAAAATAATTCGGTTTTATTGAGAACCAATCCAAAAATTCAGATATCTGAACCCAAATAGCTCAATCCAGATTGTCCAATTGTACAGTTCCGTTATATCTAAATAGTGAACAACCATATGCAAAATGAGGTCCATCAATTGAAAAATGAGCTTAGTGAATGTTGCGAGCACTTGAGGTCACATGATGAGCGTTTAGCAGAACATGATACTTCTTTAGTCATAGTTCTAAAATTTATCAATAAAACTCCCGGAGACGATGTTGGTACCTCGAAGGTGGTAGAGGTAGATTATTAATTATTTCATTGTTAATGGTTATGTTTTTGCGTCGTTTACAAGTATGTATTATTGAACCGTAGAGGTTCTCGTCGTACCAAATGCTATGATTATGCGCTAGGCACACTCGAATAGTCGTTGAATGACGACCCTGAGCAACCATCTCCATGTATTCAATCGCCCAGATGTAAAAGAGATTTTGTAGGATGAATACAGAACATTGTCGTCAATACCTCTTAGGCATTTAAGTACCAAAAAGTTATGTCCATATGGTATAAGTCCTCGTGGATACAAACAAAGAGGAAAGATGTTATACGACAACAACCATCACCATTTGACAATCTTTTAAAGCGTACAGTACACAGTGTATACAAAGAATGTGATGGTTTGTTGTTGCTTGGTCATAGTTATTTGATCGGTTTTGCTACGCTTGAGTTTTGGACACGGTTATATGCGGATAGTAATGGAGGATGGTTGTTATGTGATGTAAGTAATATAATTATGTGCTCATTACATACTCCGTTTCTAATAACAATACTTACTTTACTTCAAAAAAAAATTCCCAACACATCATGATGTGGATCTCATTGCTGCTAAAGTGTAAAACGAATGATGCTCTGTGGATGGTTGTGTCGTCAGCTTTTAACACTGATACATTTGACTAGAGTGACATGGCTGGCGGATCCGTTTACCTAGCTTGGGAAGACTGTGATACGATATAATTTTTTTTAGATTACATTACCTAAGTATTTATATACTAATTAATTATTTCTAACATTTTTTATAGTTTTACATCCCAATCAATATACCACATGCTTATTAGTTTTTGGGTGCTTTGCATTTGAAAACATTCAAAATGGTTGTATATGACAATCATCGGAAGAGTGGCTACTCTTCGGAAAATGAGGATTCATTTATAGGTATGAGAGCCCGCATCCACAGACTGCTAGTAGGAGTCAACTACTGGAGACAAATATAATTTGAACATTGTACTTGTAATATAACATACAAACATGTCCATTTATTTAGTTTATATATTTATTAGTTGTTCATTAATTTTAATTGCATTTTACATTTTATCAAACCAAAAGTTATACATTTTATTAATGTAAAACTTATACATAATACAAAACCAAAAATTATTGTAAAA